TGAGAAAAAGAGGTTAGAACGGGATATAACAAATTTAAAGTATTAATAAATTTAATATATTAGCAAAGTGTTAGGCATAGTTAGGTTGCAATGAACGTCTAGTGAGAATATGCGGCATGCCGAACCGTTTCCTTCTCTTAGTGTTATTACTCAAAAACTACTTGTATATCTTTAAGTGTATATGACAACATTTAGTGTTCTAAAAAGGATGGATGCATTGCATTTAGAAATAAATATCTAGCTTTAATGCTGAAGGCGTAGAACAAACTCGAAAAATGTTTAAAGTCTTGCAAAATATTCGAGATTTTATGAAATTTGAGGTGTGTTTAAGACGAACAAAGTAGCATTTCGTAGATTATTGTGCAAGAAAAACTGTAGACTCCATGCAACCCGCAAACTACACCCTGCAAGTCGCGTTTCTAGCAACAGTTCATATTATTCGAAAATAATGTGTCATACACCTCTCGATCTTTTTAGAAACTTCTATTACATTATTGAAGTGAACCCCCATCCCCATTTTTGTTTTAGGATTTGTTAGAAACTTTAAGGTTCCCAGTACGAAATAATTATTACATTTAAAACATTTATTAAATGAGTGTGGAGTATCCACGTGTTTCAAACTAATGTGTCTTAAACCAGTGTTTGTTAACTTATGTCGTGTTTGTCAAGGTATATTATGAAATTTAAAATGCATTTATCTAATATTTCTAAGTAAATATAGTATGGAAATCTTGTTATTTTCAAGTCAGATCTTTATTTATCTCTTTTAAATTAAAAAAAATTATATTCTTAATTTATTTCAAAATAATTTTAACTCATTTTCTTAATTGAAGGAGAGTTTGGAGTTATATTACTAACGAATTTAATATTTTCAGTTCACGCTCTTGTAAATGCTGCTCAAAATTCCTTTCAGTTAGCACAGCTCAAGTAAATGTTTCTTTTGACCTTCCTATATTTGTTTAGAAACGCAAAGATGACGCAAGAAACGCCTTATGCAAAGGTGTCGATGTCCTTCACCACTAATTCTATATTTGAGTGTACGTAGGTATACAATATAAACGAATTGGACATTATTTTTGAAAACTTTGCAGGAACGGACACGTGTGTTTGATAACAAGCTGCATTTAGGAAGAATTACGATGCATTACCTCATGTTGTTATTGAATCGTATAAATGTGAAATAGTCAGGGGATAAAAACAAGCAAAATATGTAGATTTAGATTTATTTTGTCAAAAAAATGTAAAACTATGTGACATATGGGGGAGAAGATCTGCGCACGTTTTCTTGTGTCCGAAAGCCCTTCCCATTATTTTAAATAAAAATAGTTGGAAGATGAGTAAAAGTTAAAGGTAAATAAATAAATAAATTAAATAAATAAAAATACAATTTAAAAACCGCGAGATTAGCAATATTTAAAAAAATAGACATTTTTGTTCCCGAGTTATACAAAACGCATTAAAGTTTTTATAAGAGTTGTTTGATGTATGCGGGAAAATACATGTTAAAAAGAAGACAGTGAGTAAAATTGCATAAAATGAGCAAATATAATCAGTGAGATGATATTCATTAATTCATGAATTATTATTATAATAATAACGAATTATTAATTAATAGATACCCAAATAAAGCAGCAAGTAGCAGCATCAGCAAGGTAAGAGAATAGGTATTTAACGTATATGTGTATTTAACGTATAGGTGTTTTATTTGACTTATGTAACTTTCTCTAAGAATAGACTAGCTGGGCAACTGTATAGGGTTTATAATGAATTTTAATTATGAACTTGCATGAGAAGAGGAGCCATATTAATCTAGTAGTTTCATATTTTGCATCCTATTTTCTTGAATCTCTCCAATGAATATCTTTGTTTACGGAGTATAAGCAGGCGACAAGTCTGAGAATGACGTCTTAACGATTTCGTTTGGGGAATAATGGAGCTTTGCGGTACAGGTGAAAAACACATTTCTTTCCTGCGCCCAAAGCACAATCACATTTTTTCTAAAATATGCAATTTTAACTCAAATTAGGAGCAGAACAGAATTAATATACACCAGCTAGAAACAGCAGAAATTGTTTAACGTTAAAGGCATTAAACATTTTAATTCATTACTCGAAATATGGCTGCGTACCTTGTGCAAGTAGTTTCTATTGTTTTGTGAAGCGGGAAGTGTGAATTCTAAATTGTAGGCGTATGAATAAATTATCTTACAAAATAAGCGCAACATATTTAGAAAATGAAGATTTTAAAAAAAATCTCAGCGTAAGATTAATTAATTTTCTGCTACTCGGGAGCGAAAATGTCTATTTTTCAAACAATGCTAACCTCACTTTGTTGATACGATTATTCGTGATTCAACAATGGATATTAAAAGGTGGTAAGGGATTCTGGAGCTGTTGAAGACGTGCAGATTTGCTCTTCATCTCATACTTCCCCAGATTTTATAGCTTATTACGACAATAAATTAAATCAAATGAAATTGCTGTCTCTTAAGAATTTCACTTAATACATCAATATAATCTAGGTATTTATTGTTTTCTCTAAGATGGGTTTAAATAATAATTGACTACTAAAGCAAATGAGCAATAAGTGGTGGACACAAAATCTGTTCATCATTAGTGAATCTATTAGTATCCATTTCCATTTCATTGTGGTGCAGACATTATGCTAAAGTACTTAGAACCTGATATACTAGAAAAAGACTCCTTGTGGGGGCATTAAAGTTTATCGTATTAGAGCATATCAATTTACGTTTGAATGCAAAAAATCTTATATATAACTTATGTAGTAATTTGACAATATATTGGGTAATTTAAATAAACCATTTATTTTTCAAAACTCAGATGTTAGATGACAATCAACCTGTCAGACGACTCTGAGAAAGACGTCTGAGCGAAGTCTGAGAAACGAAAAATGTGTGTGGGGCGTCTGCTGTGATGCAGAAAGGCATTAGCGCAAATAGGTTTCCTTCCTTTGGAAATGGCATAATATCTGAATAAACCTCTAGTCCGTGCAGTGGAGGTTCGAGGGAGTGAAAGGGGCCATGTCTTCCTCAAAGCCAACATTTTTGGAACTTTTGCTCAATTTAATCAAACTAATCAGCATGTGTATATTTAATGACTTTAATGTAAAACCACTCGTCAGTTGAAATTTGGCAGAAACGACAACTCACTTAGATGAAAAATATTGTAAGCTATGTTTAAAACAAATATTCAATTAAATATTAGGGTAGGTTCCTTTTTGGGTGGTTAGTTGACATGGGAGAACGGACGAAGAGAAACATCACAGCATTGGTATTCATTAAAGTGCAAAGGTACAGGAAACATGTGACAGGGGATCTCATTCTAGCTATTCTAGCAACTTGTTACAGGGCAGCAAGGGAGGGCAGGGACACGGACGAACAGAATGGCAGGTAGTCAGGCAATAAGTGGTGGACACAAAATCTGTCCAGGCAGAAAAGAGGCAGTCGGTCTGGGATAGACGCATGCTTGCAACAGGCAAATTGCCGACTGACGCACCGGCAGACTGACCGACAAACAGTGATCAAAGTCTCGATTGACAGTCCGGTATACTGATTAAAAAGCGTCAAGCTCTGTTTTAAAGATTTCACCGATACCGTGGCAATTGTTCGTATTTTTGATATTTATTTTTCTGCATCTGCTCTAATGCATTTTTATCCGTTAAGGATTCGATTTCCAACCGTTCACAAATGTGGTTTTTAATCATTATCTTTTCATTTCGGCTAAAAGTCACGCGATGATGAAATGTCATTGAAGTTTCTTGCGTCTTGAAAGTTTCGTAATGTTCTGCGATTTTTCTACAGTGGCCGATGGCATTAGGTCACTGTTGCACGTCTTATACTAGGAATTTAATTAATAATTTTTAAATAGTTCGCGAACATCTTTCTCAATAAGGCTTGTGGCCTCGGAAATGTGCTTACCGCTGTTCAAAAGATTCATTTTATCAGGCAGGAGGTGTAACGAGGACCCAAACGTCATGGGCCACTATAGAAATATCGAAGTATAATCTAAAAGTATGAGCATGACAGTCCTACTCAAACACAGAGGCAAATAAATAAAACAAACCTCCACTCCAGAGCTACATGCGGGGCGGAGCAGGGCTCACCTGTGCGCCGAGAGAGGGCGTGTGCCATGGCGGGGCCGGCGTCGTCTGCGGCCTGGGCGTACGTGCGAGCGGCGCCGCTGACGTGCGGCGAGTGAGCGGTGGCGGCCACTGCGAGAAGCCTCCCACCCCCACCACGACGCGTCACGTGACCCACTGCGTCCCTCGGACGTCAACTATTTTAGCTCATACTACGCGCGCCTCTTTCCGCCACCGGCCGGTTTTAGAAAGGAAGATCCAGTGACCCTCACGACGGTGGTTGGTTTGCGTACGTATCCTGTTGTTATGTGAGCTACTCCTACTTGTCTCTCAAGTAATCCACCACCTGCTGCCAATGAAGGGGTGAGGTCAAAAATACTCATTCGTGCCATGACATAATTTTATGATATCGCATATTTATTTCAGTAGCCATATGTCTTCAAGCACCCGCTTGTTTAGTCACAGGGAGATAACACTAGTAATAAAATAGAAAAAAAGCATATTAATATGTTGTGCGATCCACATGTCATTAAAGGTAAAGCATGAAAAAAAAGAGAGAGAATAAAGTGGCTGACCCTGTCACCTACGTAAGTGAAAGATGATTGCACAGAGCACACTCGCATTTTGAGTGTGCGGAAATGAGAACGGAAGATTGCAAAAATGAGAAGATATTTGGGATTGATAATTAATATGAAAGACCTGAATTCAAAATGAAGGATCTAAATAAAAGATTGAGTTCAGAAAAAATGCTAGTAATTTCAAGCAGAATTTCGAAATAATGAATTTTCCCGTCTGCTTTCTGCCATCGATTGAAAGTTGCCTATGACTCACAATTTACGGGTAGGATCTCAAAGCCTGTTAACGAGTTCGCACTTTATCGAAAATAACTTAGTTAAACGACATTTGACAGTCAATGTTCAATGACGTTTGGGAAACCCCTGTGCAGTATTTAATTAACTGTGTGTGTGCTTCTGCCTGTGTGTGTGTGAGTGTGTGTGTGTGTGTGAGTGTGTGTGTGAGTGTGTGTATGTGTGAGTGTGTGTGTGTGTGTGTGAGTGTGTGTGTGTGAGTGTGTGTGTTCAAACAAGGTTTTTGTTTAGAAATAAGTTTAAGCTTTCTACTCACCCATATTTCGTGTTTTTGCTTTAAATGGAAGGTAGTGTATTATTGCTTGCTATTATTGTCCGGTTTTATAATGTAAACATTGAGTATCCAAAATATTGTAAATCACTGGAATGAACGCTCATCTGCCGACATTGCAAAGTGACAAGTGCAAAACGTTGTTTGGTTGCATCAATAAATTATTCTATAATGTTTTGGTCTACCGCGAGAAAGTATAATGAAGTTGGCTAATGAGATTGGCGTTAGCAAATGGAATAATATTTTATTTTGGTACGTAGAGCGTTTACAAATGCAAATATTAATGATGTCAAGCAAACGTCTGAGATCTGTATACTTTTACAAAAAAGTTAAGTGATTACAATGTATTCTTTAAGTTTATAAATTCAAGTGGACAGTAGTTTTTTTTCTTGGTTCCCAAAAACCTAAATATAATGCTCTTGATAAATTTAAAACATTTCATTTACATTTTAAGAAACACATTCAAGTCTGTGTTTGCAGTGAATAGTGCTGTATTTTTTCAGATTTAGTAAACCTCTCGCATTTTACTCGAGACTCAAGACAGAACGAAAAGAAACAAAGCTTTGTGATTTTCTATTTTACATATAGTGAATGTATAGATCTCCTCTAACTTTTCTACTATTATTTCCCACACCTATCGAACTAGCAACTCAACTTTCCAAGCCACCATTCATCCATATTGATTCTTGGATATTTACTCTATAACTTTATTCAATTGTAGATTTTTAAGTAATCTAATGGATTTTTTTATCTGTGTAATTGTTGAGTATTATCACTAAGAGGAGGAAAAGCTTCGCCGAATTTTTTAAATATTAGATATTTATTCTATTTATTATATTACAATTTTATAATTTCCCCGGGTAAAAATTGAGACTACGTCTTGAAAGTTGAATGCTGTAGTGAAAATGATTTATCGTCCCGGTAATGTAGCTCATTTTTCATTCCAATTTTAATCTAAATTCAAAAATGTATAAGTCCTAAATAGGCGCATTTAGAGACAAGTAGATTTGCAAACCGAAAAGACCATCCTTTCTTCTGTAGAACAACTATCGATTTCTTTTATTCGTTTCTTCACAAACGATGCCTGAATATGCCTCGTGCGCTGACGCACCCCCCGTCGGGCGAGCGATCCTTCAGGGAAGACCCAGGCTAAGCGCGGACATGCCGTTAAAAGGAGGCGTGCGCATTAGGAAAGCCCTGTGCCAGAAATATCGCGCGACGACCGCATTCAAGCTAACTAAATCTACCCAAGTGAAGGTGCTTACCAAGTGAAGGTGAAACCTACCTACAGTAGTGAAGGTGCTTACCAGTTGTGTATAATACGAAATCGGTAAAAGAGGTGAATGTGCTTTTGTTTGGGAATGAAGTTTGGTGCGGGTGCCGACATATATCTGCCGACATATTTGCCGTAGATTTCTGTTCTATGTTCTGCTCTATTTCCGCTCTATGATAAATCTTATGGCAGGTTTGTTTTTCGTTAAATTTTTTGAAGTTTCAAAACTTGCAAAAGTTTAAAAGTTTTTCGTGCTTTCGTACAACTAGAATATTGAAAATAAAATATTTTTCTAAAACATGAAATCTATTCTTCAAAATTGGCTCTTTAAATGAGATATTTCAGAAATAAGTAATTTCGCGTAATTTTCTTTGAAATAAAAAGTTTTATAAACAAGATTTTTTCAATAACCTTTCAAATTTTTTAAAATATTTTTATCAGATAGTGCCAAAAATGCATCTAAAAATGTCGGAAGTGAGCGTTACGCGAGTCATATTTTAATAATCGAAGGTTTCTTGTATGTCATAATAATGACTCTTATACATAAGTTTTCATGCATGTGATAATACGCCACGTGATACTCTTATACATAAGACATAAAAAACATATTTAAATCAGTTAACGTTTAACAATTTATTTTAAATCAACAGTATAAATTGATTCATATTCTCGTCCATTACTAGATATTTTTCACATTCGTAAAAATGTATTAATTTAAAATGTTTTATTAACAGTTACATTCTATTCAAGTACATGCGTAACAAAACATAACGCTACTGTTGTAAGCCCGAGATTATTGAAAAACTGCTTGTAGACTTTTTTCAACAAAATACAGTGCTCGAAATGAGGTTGGGAGTTGATTTTAATTCAGTTCTGGGGAGGATCTGTCACTCTTCCCAGAAACAAAATGGTCTCTTCTTTGGTTATGAAGAACAGAAAATGATGATTTGCACCGAACTTAGCTGTACGAGGGGGAATGGAAAGTTTAGCACATTCCACACCTGTAAAAGAAAATAGAGAATTAATGTTGTTTTATTTATTTCAATTGTAATGAAGTAATAACCCTATGAAGTAGGGCCTGTAATTATTTTAATTCTATTATAATGTCTTACATTTTATATTTTTTTCAAATCTTACATTTGATTATTGCCTATGAACAAATATTTGTAGTAAATATTAAATACAATTTCATAAAATTGTATATAAAAAATCAATTGAAATTGATTCTCACGTAAGAAAACATTGAGGTTTCATTAGTAATAAATAAGAGAAGTTAGAACAGATTTTCATCAGACGTTTTAATTTTAATAAGATGGCTGGTACTTTTTGGAAATCATGTTTATTTATGTAGAAAATAGGTATTGGTTGCCATTGTAATACAATTATCGAAATGGTCATATGACGATGTGTTTCTGTATTAGCTTTTATAAATTCTTTCATGGAAAAAGAAACGTTAAACAGATATGTAGTTAACATAGATTTCACTTTCAGACCAAAACGAATCCAAATTGGTTACGGATATTCCCACGAAAAAAATTAAGGACCTAAACCCACTCGCACATACTCGAAACTGACGGTGACAGTTGCGCGGGAGTACGCAAGCGGCTATTTCATGAGTTCCATTTCTGTATTCAGTGGAGCTACTTCCAGATCAGATAGCCTGAGCGTAATATTGCGATCTACCATAACGTGATACCGATAGATGATGTGGTCAAGAGTATGGTTCGAGGTATACCCTATCCAGGGGCGGATTCGGAGACAAATTTTGGGAGGGGAAATTGAAAACGTTTTGGTCGAATGTGTTCTGAGAGATTTTGTAAAATGTCGCAGGCTACACTCAGCTCATGCTGCGATACGATTTTATTCGTTTTAATGATTGTACGAAAATATTTTTGCTTGAAAGTTACGTGACAAGTTAAAATTAATAGTAGCTGAAATATTTAGGGGGATTTCCTTCATTTTCCTCCCCGTGGATCCGCGCCTGCCCTAGTAGTAGAAGGTAAATGGTTTTGACGAACATGGACTAACAAAAAAGAAACTAAAAATAGCTATTAATATACTAGTCTGTATTTCTGTTTTACGTTTAAGCACCTTGCTGTGTCTACAGACATTTGCCATGGTGGAGTCTATCCTTCAAGTGCAGCTTGCCACTGCCCTTGGAAAGATTCTCGTATTCGAGTCCCGATGTCAAGAATTTCGACACAACCGAACGAGCTACGTCGGGTTCAGCCACTGTCTGAGACGGGCCACTGACCACGCGCGATCTTTCCTTCCTCTTCCTGGTGCTATCCTCTCACCTTACACAAACGTGTTCTAAACTTCCACTTACGTTGGGAGGCATGTATTGGGAGCGTAGAGCGTGTTTCTGCTGAGGAGAGGTACCTGAACTGGAAACACTGCAAGCCGATGTGTATGTCGGTGCCGGTCTCAGCATCTAGCAAGCAAGGAACTCCTCAGCCGCGAGGCTTAAAAACATCCACTACACTGACGGGACTAATAAGCATAATAGTTGACGTGCCGGAAACACAAATCAATAAATGTGCTACCACCGTGATGCCTACCATCCGAACCCCCCCGCCCATGTAGCTGTCTCATCATGCATTGTAGAAACTGTTGGACTAGCGCATCTCGTGAGCCCTTTAGCGTGGGACGTGGCTCAGAGAATAAACTGATGTCACTGCAATGCCTCCGCCTAGAAAGACCTACGTTCGAGTCCTACCAGTGGCTGGATTTTCGACACTAGCTAGGTCGAATTCAGACGCTGACAGGAT